CCCCCCCCCCCCCCCCGGTTAAATTCCACAAAAAGTGGGCGAGTATAGGCCGACCTTATCCCTGAAAAAGTCAGAGTTAAATGAATAATGGAGTGTATTTTTTTTCATTATATTTTTTTCATAGCCTTTATATAATAAACACAAACAAATAAATTTCTTCATCAATCTTTTCCATCCTAATTTAATTTCCATTGCATTTTCCAGCTTCGGAACGGATTCTAAGCTTTTCCCTATATAATTTTTCTTTGTGATCATATATTTGACAGTTTTTGTTTTTGGGTGCAGCATAACATCCATTTTCTGCAGGAAGTTCTTCAAAACAGAAAATCAGATCTATTGGAGTGGTGCATCATAGTGTTACTAACCATTGAGAATATTGTTTCTGCATATGAAATCCTTCACAACACAACTGCTGCTGCTGCCATTTGTTGACTTCATGTAGATTAAGAAAAATGTTGGAAAAGTTGCTAGAATAGTAGAAAGTGAGTGATTAGAATTTAGTACTCTTTCCGTCCTTAAAAGATTGTCACACTTTGACTTTTTTGGTCAAACTGCAACACCCTTTGAGCACAAATTAAATATAGTTTAAAATAATTAAATATTATAAAAAATTAAAATTTCAAAATAAATCTAATTTTACTAAATTTACATTATAACTAAACATATTTTTTTCATAATTTGCGGTTAAAGGGTGTCACAGTTTGACCAAAGAAGTCAAACTGTGGCAATCTATTAAGAACATAGGGAGTATTTTAGAAGGGAGAGAATATTTTGGGTTACACATTTATATTCTTTTCTAAAAGGGGAAAGAAAAATGAAAATGTGAGAATTATTTTTTAGTGAGAAAATATTTGTTGACAACCAAACAAACATTAGAGAAGGCATATTATCTTGTTGTATTATTCCTCGTAATCTTGTCCCAAAGTCTGCCAAATTTTCCAAGACGAGGTCAAGATTCTTTTGACATTTATGTGCATTATTATGACGTGGTGTTTATCTCTTTATTAAATTCTCCATAACCTCCTATCGAACGGAGCATCGTAAAGCTTTCAAATTGATAAAGTGTCATATTATAATATTGGGACTACGTGTTAAAAGAACCTCGGTGCCAAAACAAATCTTTGTTGCACCATCTCTGTATATGCAATTCAAAATGAAATTTAATTGTGAGATAAAACGAGTAATAGAAAAATTATGAGAAAGAGCTCCCCTCTTCTAACATTGGGAGTAACATGACATTGGCTCTATCAAATACGGAGTAGAACTTTTGTTAGTCGAGTCAGAAAATGATCAAATCTAAAACGACACACTATCAATGGACCAAATTTGACCGGACTTGTTTTGATCTATCGGCTGTGGTGAGATTTTTTCAAAGTCATATCTTATTATAGTAATAAATATCATATTATCATATTTATTCTTTTTACACTATATAGTTCTATAGTTTTTTTCCTTCTAACAAATCTTAATGATATTGTTTTTTTGGTACTTAAAATGATACTCCCTTCGTCCCAATTTATTTGCAACACTTCGAACGACGTGCAAAATATCATCTCTTTTAAAATTACTTTAATTTCAATTTGGTAGAGTAATAAAAAATAAAAATTACACCATTTAAAAGTATATGAAAAATTCTACAAAACAAGATGCGACAAGAATATTTTATTTTATCAAATGGTCAACCAAAACGAGTAAACAAACAAAAGTTATCGAGAGGCCAAAATAGTAAACGTGTCGTTCTTTCTGGGACGGAGGGAGTATGATAATTGTTTTCACAATTTCAATAGAGAACTATTACATCGTGACAATGTACTCAATTTGAACTTATATATTAATGTTTCATAGTAATTTTTTGGTATTATGTAGGTGTTTTCTCTGTGCTTAAAAACTGGTCTAAACTACTTATAAACCTGATTACATAATTTTGTGTGCTTATAAATCAAAAAATAAGTAGGTCATACCACTCATACGTATTTGTTTTTAAACCAATTTTTCCGTTTCTTCATTTTTTACCAGATTATTTACAAAACTTTTGTTTACCTTTTATGAATATCTCTAGCTGACTTTATCATTTCAGTTATTTTACTTCAATAAAAGAATAATTAACTTATAAATAATCTATAAATTAAAAATTATTTATCAACAATAACCTAATAAGCAACAGTGTAGAAAAACATCCCCTATATAGACACACTATTACATACAGAATTTGTATCGTAAGTCTTACTTTGATACAAAAAATAGAATATCTTATTTTAGTATAAATAGTACCGAGTATGTCTTAGGCCATGTTTGGAAAATGGCAGTTGGCAGTTAGTGTTGGCTGGTTGGAATAGCTAATTGAGTTAGCTGTTTTGACTGGCTGATCGTATTAGCTGTTGAGAAAAAAATGTTTGGCAAATTTGGCGGTTCAAACATGGCTGTTTGTAAAGGAAATTACATTTAAGGACATGCTAATAGATTATACCCACATATTTATTGGTTTGCTAATCTGCGTAACTCTGACTTCAACATTAGACAAAATTTGCAAATTCATCATCATATACGATAAGTTCAAAAATTGATTTTAATATTTTTAAAAAAGACATCTAAAAAAATCAAATTAAACCAAAAATTGCACCCATAAGATTTATATTACATCTAAAATGGAAGAATCTGAAAAGTTTCAAGATTAAATAAGAAAGGATAAATAAACATAAAAATATAGGGATAACACTTGTAGAGATGCAGTGGGAGAATGGGATAGGGTGAAATCCAAATTTCCAAATAAAGATAAAAGGGCAAAAAGGAAAATTATACTTAGATGCCGAATTGAAACGCTGCTCCATATGGCGTTTCATATTTTAGCATTTTGAATGAAGATGCCAACATCAAAAGCCATATTCCAAACACATAAATAGTGGTTGTTTGATAATTCAAAGCAGTTCAAGGTGGTCAAACTGCTGAAAATGGCTGATCTGCCATTTGCCAAACGCAGCCTTAGTTCTATATAGGAATATCTCTTATTTTTGTACATGTCTAAAATTAATTAAATATTCAAAAGAAAACATTACAAAAAAAGTTCTTCTATTACGAGTACATTTTTAAGTGAGACACAAATGCACATAAATCAATTTATTTTACAGATGTACATAAATAACCCTTTAGCCAACTCAAACCCAATACATTGAATCATGAAAGCATGCGTCTAAACCTAAGATTGAACGAATCCTAACCCAAATCCTAACCCAAACTAACCGACTTAAATATCAAATAAGACTACCTATTTACTTGAAGAATTGTTTTTTTTTTAAAGAAACAAACGGATGAACATATGATGAATTGCTATGAATTTACAGATGTACAGCGATTGATTTCCTCTGCATTTATTGACCACAAGAGACTGTTCCTCAAACAATAAACTTGCAGGTTAGTTAACAAATGAAATAAAGTGCAGATTTTGCACCCCAAAGAAGAAAAAAAAAGATACAAATGATGAAGGAGAAGAATAGAAGAAGAAGAAGAAGAATATGCAACCTTCTGCAGACATTTGAAATGGAAAATATATATAAAAAAACAAGAAACAGGAAGGGTATTAATGGACTAGCTGTGATTCCAAGACTTGAAGTAGCTCTTCTGTGAAAATAATGGACATGGATAATAAGATCATGGCCTTGGATGAACATATTTTGTTCTGGGATCCACAATCAGACCCTTTCCACCATTAACTTCCAAATCATGCCTGCAATGAACTACTCTTTAGTTCATTATACATTACTTGCATTATACTATACAGAGTGAGAGTGGCTTCTAAAATCGTAAAATAAAAAGGTCAAAGCTGGCGGCGATGCCAAACAGGCCCTTAGATGTCAGATTCTTATGTAGAGTATATACAAAAGGAATGAGACGGCTTGGGAGCATGAACACTTACTGGAACACAAAATCTGGGATAGTGAGCTGTTCACGGGGAACGTATCGGAATAGTTGGAGCAGGCGATCAACATATATAACCTTTTTCCATGCCTAGAAGTCATTTACAAAGTTTTTGCAAAGGTTCAGCAATGACGAAGGAAAAAGTCTTGGCTAGAGTTCCAGATATACCTCATTATCCACAAGGAGTTGCAATGCAAAAATGGCAGCCTTTAGTCCAAAAGTTGGATGAAGGACATATATTGCCTGCATAGGACAAAACACGTAGAGCGCTATCTTAAAATGTGAACTCAAGTTACAGAAGGCCGACAGGGAGAGCAGAACGAGGGTTGAATTGCGTACATGAAGGTTGCGTTGATGTTTCCGACCCAATATTTGTTGTAATCTCTTCATCCATCCAAGATCTGGTTGCCTGTTCATTGTTTACCACAAAAGCATACATGCAAATGAGGACTAATTACTACAAAAGCTAATACTTAGCGCATACTTTATCCAGCCAATTGTTTGAAAATTGTCAATTTAGCCATTGATTCCATATTCATCACTAGTCACCTTTTTCATATCTTTTTATGCTATCCATTTAATCAAAAACCTGTGATGTTCACACTTTTGATTGTTAAAAATAAGATTTAACGATAGTAAGCAAGGGTTATGAGTGCTGAAGTGGCATATGACCGTAGTTGACGGTGCACCAATGTTGCACATATTGACAAGGCTTATTTCGACCAAAGAACGAAATTTGGCTAGAATATAGATCGAATATAAAGAATTGACTGGAACCCAAAATTAGAAAAATGCGATTTTTTATCAAGTAAAATTCTTTAACACACCAAATGCATTGTACGTCACATGACATCTTTCTAAAGCAAATCCCACATTTACCCCAAACGGAGACATCATATTTATTACGATATTTAGAATTTATGTTCACCGCTCAATCTGCTCATCTTTCCTAGGGCAGCGAGTCAATGAAAACAAGAAGTGAAATGAATCAACAACCAAAACAATGTTAGAGTGACACTTGCCCAACTTTCTATGAACATCAGAGCCAACGATGGAGGAGCATCACTTTACAAAGTCATACTACACGCGAGTTAGTAAACACAGGCCTCACACTAGTTTCACATTTCTAATGGTTGCTCTTTTGGATAAAGACAGATATCAAGAAATAGCTGAATCTTTTAGATTAGGTTTAGTAATTGTTAAACCAGAGAAAATTTCATATGACAAGAGAGCACTCACGTCTGTAAGGAAGCTGCAGAATGAAAGTACACAATAGTATAAGGCTTCTGTATCAATGGCTCAAACTCCTGAAATGAAAATATTGATAATTGTTATTGTTTAAAAAAACAAACCTGGTGTTACATAGAGACGTATCATAAACCAGTGGCAGTAAAAACTTGCCTTTACAACATGAAGAATAAACCTCTCTAAATCAAGACATCTCAGGAGAAAATGTGCCCCTACAATCACCATAACTGGGCGACCCTCACTGTCAACCCCACCCCGGTAACTGAAACACAGTAGTAACGATAGATGTGAAAAAAGTCATCCTATCTCATTGGTAAACTGTAGTCACGGTAACAAATCATTGATGCTATTAGTATGGAGAAAAAAAGGAGTGATGATGCAGCTAAAGGAACAGTTTCTTACATAATCTTCATCTCTGCAATGTCTGAAAGATTCAACGAATTTGCTTTGGCAAGATATCTGGAGTGAAGGGAGTATTCTTCGGCAGCTGATAAAGGAGGACCGCCAAGATTACCATATCCAAGCATTTTAAAGCAGTTCCATCGGTTTTGCTCTTCAATAGTTTTTTCCCATTGTTCTTTCCTTCGCTGATCAGGATCCTTGATAAGGGACATAAAAGCGGGATCCAGATATGAGTCTAAATAGGAAGAGCTCCTGTTCAAATATCGTTCAGGTTATTTGACATAATATGAAGGGCATAATACAGAATTCATATGGTTTCTTTCACATGTTGAGAATTCACAGAATTGTTTGAAGTTTAGCACCAATAAGTTCTGAGAATTGTTTCAAAGGTTTGTTTTGCTGGAATACTCTCATTAAAAGTAAAAATGCCACACAAAAAAAAACTAAAAGGTGAGTCTGATGGATACTATGTTCTGCAGCCACGGTAACAGTTGAGGGCACACTCTGCAAGCAAGCACTTGAATATATATCTAAAACTAGAGAAGTCACACAAGGGAAAAATCATTTTTGCAGAGGAGTTAATAAGATGCAATAAATGAACCGTATCAGTAGGCCTTAGGGCTGTCATTAGCAAAACCAATAATATTTAAATATTTAAACCACATTAAAAACTGCACGGATCATAGAGACAGAAACACACAACAACAACCCAGTTGAATCCCACAAAAGTAGGGTCTGGGGAGGGTGTGTATACGCATACCTTACCCCTACTCGAAGTAGAGAGACTGTTTCCAAAGAGACCCCCAGCTCAAGCACCACAGGTAATCACGTACGCAGCCTTACCCCTAAGTTTAAAACATAGAGCGGCTGTTTCCGGATGACCCGTGATGAAGGTAATAAAAATTTTGATTAAAAAAAATAAAGTGAATAAAATCAGCTTGATCAGTGATCACTTACGAAAGTATAAAAAAATAAAATGTGAAAAAGGGGTAATGCAGAACTTAAGACGGGGAATAAAAGTACGGGTTTACAAGAGATGTGTACGCTTAGCTCTGTTGCTGATTCACGCTATCATTGCAAGCACCGATACCATTGCATTAAGGAAGGTTTCCTAATTAGCTAAAGAGGTTCCTACATAATTTCCACTGTCTAGACTACAAACCATTTTTAACAATTAAAACCACTAACCGTCTTGCCAATCCAGCCTCACTGACAGGGAGATCAACAATGTCTTGTGGTTCTCTTGAAACAGACTTTTTTGTCTTAGGCAGAGGCTTTATTCTGATTTTACGTTCATCTATAACTGTCTCACCATTCTCATCCCCAACGTCTGCAGGAAGTTTTGTAATGGCTATATCCTCTTCCTGTTTGTCGCGAGGAAAGTAGAGAGGAAGCAATCTGTAAAGATATGACAAAAGTATAAAATTAGTAATGTGCAGGGAAATCTAATCACTAATAATATGTTTGGACATAACACAGAAGTATAAATCATAGAACAGCACTAGATGACAACATCTATTGAATAATTTGAAGGCACCTTTTATATATCTCTGTATCAGATGATGTTGTTGTACAAAACACCACGGCTTTTATCTTATCTTTCTGTTTCTCAAGAAACCTCCGAACAGTTCCTAGTCCAAGACAAGACAAAAAATGGTGGAGCTTGAAAAAAAACCTTGGTAAACCATGGAATGACAAAACCCATACTCCGTAATAGAGAAAGATATCTCTACGCATAACTATAACACATGAAAACACTACATCCATACACATAAATGGGTGTTCTCACTTATTGCAACATGAGCAGCTGGTTCTCGGGGATAATTCTTGTTTTCTGTATAAATGCAGCCCATTGCAATGCTGCATCCACATATCAAAAAGTGGCACGTAGCAAAGTTAAACAAGTTGAAACTTAAGATCAGAAAAAACAGAAGTAGAGAATTGAACATGAAAATGCTCCACCAAAGAACCTTTGAAGGCCATTATCAATTAAGAGTTCAAGGCAAGAGCGATAGCAATGACTTAGAGCATTTTCGGCAGCAGTATGATATTTGACAGCATATTTGGGGCCAACTGTGTGTATAACCTTTCTGCAAGAAAGAAACAAATGTATTTCTGTGAGTAGAACAAGACTAGGGAAATTAACTGAAAGTATGCCTATATCCAGGAATCGGTGTTGATTAAAGGCATGCTTTATACATCAACAAAATAGCACTCCATAACTGGATACTAAAAAGGCTTATGCTGAAGGTACTTCACATTCCTTGACCTATGCGGCCCGGTAAAGAAAAGGCTAAAGAAGGCCAACAAAATCTCAAAGTTCTAAGCATGAGAGCATTCGGCGCTCAATCTCTCAATGTGTCAGTGGAAAGCCCCAAAGTCCCACTATCTGCTCAGATATTGATGTATAATAATTAGGAAAAGTTATCTCAAATAATCCCACCTTTTCGTGCTCTTTCAAAAAAAATCCCACTTTTCACTGTCACCGGAAATAATCCCACCTTTCCGCATGTGTGCGAGTTTTGGGTCGCCATTAAAAAACTAAGGGTCACTTAACGGAATTTTTGAAAAATGCCCGATTTTTGCAAATAAATGAAAGGTGGGATTGTTTAAGGTAATTCTCTTTTTTTCGTTTTTCTAATTTTTAACTTTTAATTTAAATGTATTTTAGAGTGAAACTAATTGTTTTTTTAAATAATTGATAATCTAGTAATAATTAAAAAAATAGATTATTCTACAAAATAGAACTAATTTATTTACTTCATAACTCACTACATTTTTTTTGTAAGTTCAAATTATTTTTCTTGAGCGGCACTTTGAATTATTTTTTGATACTATATGGGTATTATTTCTTAAAAAATGGCATTACAAAAGTTGTGAATATTTCTCGATAATTCTATATAATATTTTTTGCGAAACAACATTACAATAATTGTGAAAATAACACAACAATTTTTTCTTTGAAATTGAACTTTTATTTTTATAACTCACTACATTTTCTGTTGTATTGCAATTTTTTCATGAACAACACTACGAAATATTTATTGATAATCTTCTATTGCCTATATTATTTTTTTCTAAAATGGAACTACCTAATTTGTGTGTTTTCATAATTCAGTTTAAATTTTTCCCCAAAATAATAATTCAAAAGTTGTGAAAATGGAACAATAATTTTTTCTCTGAAACGGTAATAATAAATTTTATAACTCACTACAATTTTTTTATATTGCAACTTCTTTCTTTTCTTGATCGATACTCTGAATTATTTTTGATAATTCAATATTATATTTTCCCAGAACAGAAATTTTTTTTGTAAATCGTTAGACAAATCTCTAACAAGAGTGTACGGTTATATTTTTAAAAATATTAATTTTAAATTTAAAATTAAAAAAATTAAAAAGTAAATTTACCTAAAATAATCCCACCTTTAATTTATTTGCGAAAAACAAGTGTTTTCTAAAAATTCCGTTAAGTGGCCGTTAGTTTTTTAACGGCGAACCAAAACTCGCACACATGCAGAAAGGTAGAATTATTTCTGGTGACAGTGAAAAGTGGGATTAGTTTTGAAAGAACGTGAAAAGGTGGAATTATTAGAGATAATTTTTCCTAATAATTAATACTCCGTAATATAACAACAAAGCCAGTGTATTCCCACGAGTGGGGTCTGGGGAGGGTATGTAGGCAAATCTTACCTCTACCTATAAAGAGTTAAAGAGTAAAGAGGCCGTTCCTCGGCTATAATAATAATAATAATAATAATAATAATAATAATAATAATAATAATAATAATAATAATAATAATAATAATCCGTAATAATGATAATAACAACAAAAATAATACGGAGTAATCATTGACATAATGTTGCTTCTTCAGGCATAAAATATTGGTGGTAATAAACTAACAGTTTAAAGATCTATAGGTGGAAAAATGTGATGATATTAGCTCCTTAATCTCGTCTCTGGACTTTTCCTTTGAATGTGTGTGTGTGTGTGTGTGTGGAGGAGCCAATGAGGGGGGGGGGGGAGTTACTTTGTTTCCTTTTGTTCTATCACTTCTATGTTAGGGTTATGTGCATAATAGTACGGAATACTGATTTCGTAGCATTGGAAAAACAAATGAATGCAAGCAAACTCAACTGACATGAGAAGTGAAAATTATGTTTGGTGCTCATAACATATGGCTGTACAGTAGCTCTAATACTTAGCTGCAAAGAAATTCTTAATACTGAGTTAATACAAATATTTTATGGGAAGCATCTAGAAAAGGACTACTCACCTAGCTGGAAGATCATATGCTTTAGTAACTTTTGCCATTCCTGTTCTGCAGCCACCCTAAGAAGGAATGTCAATCTAACATTTCAACATTGTAAAACCACATATTCCCAAAAACTTTTTAAAAAAAGAGCCGGTTAAAATTAACATAAAACCAGTCATATGTCAAGAACGCTAAAAAGAAGTCACGAGCCGTATATGGAAACGTACCCTTCTAAGTTGCTACATTTACTAGAGACATGAAAGTGTGTTTGGCATCTTACCAGTGTCGCACATTCTTCAGCAAGACCAGGTCCAGCTGCAGCATGCAGACCAGGGCTGCTGTGGGCTTCATCCAAGTTCTATAGACAACAAATGAAAAGATATTATAGATCATCAGAAGGATGTATGTGCCATTAAAGGCAGCAGTGAATATTGATAAATTGTGAAAGTTAAAATGATTTATTGAATATTGATGCTCACCTCATTGGTTGAGTTAACTACAGCATCCACCTCAAGATACCAAGGGTCCCCTCTCCACAAATAGATCTTGGAATTCACCTCATGATCCACTGGAAACTTGGAAAGGACACCATTTCCATTATTCTCAGTCCCAGAAGTAGAGGCCAAAGGATCTGGGAAATATGAATTAGGGAAACCGGGATCATCGTTCTCGTACAAGTACCTATGCTCAGCATCAATCCAACGGGGAACTTGATCTAGTGTCACCACTGAATCTCCACTATCTGTAGGTACTCCACCATGGGTGGCGGTTGCAGCCACTTGCCTATACATATCTCTTCTACGCTTCTTTGAGCGCAATAATAGTCTTCTTTTAATCAAGAATGTGCATAAAGCAGCTCAAATCTCTTAATTGTACATGAAAACGATGTTGGAGACATTGAAACTACATCCAAAGCTACATAGGGACAAAAAACACAGGCAGAAAATGCTATCAAACCCTTAGCAAAAGTGTCCTTAATAATTAAAAAAAGAGATTCTATGAAACTTAGTGGGCAATGTATTAGCTTCGGATAAATGATGGACTACATTGAAAAAGGCACATTAAATTTCCCTTGTTTCTTACTCTCTATGAAGTTTTGGGAAGTTAAGCATCAATGCATAAATGCATCAAGGGTGTACCAGAAACAATTTCTTTTTTTAAAGGGGTAATGTTGCCTACACCTTGAATCCCACGCCCCAACAAAGTTGGCATTACATTGGGTTTGTTGTAGATTCCGTGAAAGTTGAATCAATTGTTTAAATTAAGTACGTATTTAAATATTTGAATTCACAAAACACATTATAATACTGGCAAGCACCTGCGATTTAGATTCATGAGGATATTGAGCTGAGATATGGCGGAAGAAGATGGTTGTCTATGGAACCTGGGTGGGTAATTCGTGAAATATTTAACTTACTCGGTATTATCTATTGTGTTCCCCAATAATTTCTACTTTGTGTTTTCCAAACATTAATGGCAAGTTTGGTTCAAAACACTGTTTCTAATACTTAGTATATGATTTGGGGATTATACCGCACTTATTACTTTTTCTAACAATTCACCTAGGCATAATAGAAATTCTATGGAATATTCATGTAAATATTCGGTTACAACAATCTACAAGAATATTAACTTTCAATTCTTAAACATATAAAACTCATGCATAGCATAAACTAGCTATAAGGTACTCTGCATTAAACTACTAATTATAAACTAGAGTATTACTTTTGAAACTATGAATCAATGAGAAATGAAAAAAAAGGTCCCAAAACCGGCGGCATGGTGTAGCTAAGAGGGGTCAATCGGACTCTAATCACAGCTAAATTGAGAAATGAAAATCATACCAGATGGAGTAAGATAATAGGCTACTCATACCTGAGTACCTCACTCGGAGGGGATTCGACGCCGGAAAAGTGTTCGGAGATCGGCAGTTCGGCTCCTCGCGAATCACCACCTCGCCGTCGGTATTGGGCTTGCGATTGAGGGAGATCGGCGAGTGGCGACGGCGGGGAGTTGGAGAAGGGATCAGGCGACAGAAGCAAGAAATGGAATCGGAAATTAGGCCTCGTGATTTCCCAAGGGGACGATCGGACGAAACTAAAAAATTTTGTTCCGGGAGGGGGATGTAGTTGAGCTGTGGCTTGGAACAGCTGAAATATTGTTTAAAATAAAATTGCAAGGTGAAATTTGCACTGAATAGGACTTAAATTTTTTTAATTTTTAAATAGGACTTAATAATAACTAGTGAGAAAAATAAAGTTCAAATGATGCTGGACATTTAGTTGAATAATAACTAATAAATAATGACCAATGGTCCTATATTAGAAAATAAAAACAAATGGTCCTATATTGAGAAAGTTATTATGTTTTAGTCCTATTTAGAAAAATTACCCAATTGCAATTAGTTTTTTTTATTTTTAGAAAATGTTTATTATTATTAGACCATATAAAATTAATGAAAAGTGTGTTTTTTCGATATAACAAGTTATCATACTCCGCAATAAAAATAATTAAATAAAATAAATATTTTTAAAAATTATAAGGAATAATTAACAATTCAATAAAAGTTTGGTTCATTATATTCGGTATATATCTTTTAAGTTTTAACATACACACTGAATAATCTTACACTGTGTCCATTGATAGCTTAATAGGTCCGAGAAGAGAATGTCTAGTCGAGCTCAATTGGTGGCGCCCAAGATAGACGTTTCACCTCTTTGAATAATCTCATATTGTTAGAACTTAGAATTGTTATTACTCATAATTGGTAATAAACTAAGACTCAGTTTGGTACATCAAATTCAAGCTGTAAAAAAAGAATTGAGGACTTCAATTCTAAATTTGGTGTTTGGTAACACAAAAAATATGTGAATTTAAAATTGGTAATGCAAAAAATGAATTGAAATAGGAGAACTCAATTCTATCGAATTCAATTCCATAGAATTTCAAATTCAATTCAATTTCAATTCTATATCAAACGGATCCTAAAGAAAAAATGAGTGGACATTCAATAATCTCCTTCCAATAATCAAAATCGTATCAATTTGTCTGATTCGGATATCCCATTCATTGACAGTTTTTTTTTTGTGGTGAAATGCCATTGACAGATACATTATGATAGTAGGTGAGGTGACATATACAACAAATTATTTTATGTTTAATTTATTGGGGGAGAAAAGGGTCCCAAATTTCCCACATTTTTAAAAGGGTGTTTGAGAGTAATTAACTTGTGGATAAAGTGATTTCTTCAAAGCTGAAAGCAAAAGCACCTCATACCTGCTTCTCCGAAACGGTGTTCTATGTACAAAAAAGTGGTGGTGAAAAGCAGAAGCTGACATGCCAAACAGAGTAAAACCACTTCCACTCAAAGCAGAAGCTAAATTATTAAAAGCAACGCAATGCCAAACACCCTCTTAACACTTCACATAACTTAGATACGAGTATAAAGAAAGGATATAAAATAGAGTAATTTATTTAAATAGGACTAAAACATAATGACTTTCTCAATATATGAACATATGTTTTTATTTCCCAATATAGGACTATTGGTCATTATCTATTATTCATTATTCAACTAAATGTCCAACATCACTTGGACATTATTCTTCTCACTAGTTATTATTAAGTCCTATTTAGGGAATAAAAATTTTTAAGTCCTACATTGGAAAATAACTTATGTTTTAATCCTATTCAGTGCAAATTTCACTATAAAATATGCCCCTGCCCGGGTGTGTTGCACAGTGACAAAGACATGAAATACCAAAGGTAGAACTAATTTTGATTCATGACAATTGACTCGGGAGATAATTATGTTAAACACAAGACCTCTGCAAATATCAAGTATATGTTTTACTCCAATTGATTAATTTACGATTAAAGTCTAATTTATCATTTTTTAATAACCGTCCGACTGGGTCTTAGAATACTTTCAGGGATGAGACTCATCCTTTTAAGGATATAAAATAAAATGACAAAGAAATGATATAAATGAGTCATGCTCGGGTTCCATAAACCCTCTCATATATCAAAAAGCATATTCCACTTTTTATATGTCATACGGAGTACTAAAATTATATTTCCCTCCCTTATATTTTCCTTTTGTTTGATTTTTCACCATCTCTATTGTAATACTTAGAAGTTAGAATATTAATGTCTCTATTTACATATAAACATAACTTATAAAAATACTCGAGTATGATATTTTTCAAAACTATATTTCAAAATAAAAATATATAGATTCGGCTCAATTTTAAAATACTACATTTATGGTTCTTGATATTCGAAAATTATTCCACAATCCGTCATTGGTGGATTATATGTAAAAATAATAGATTTATTGTTCTAGATTGCATACATCTTCACCACCAGTCCACCACAGTCCATGGTAATGATAATTTATAAGAATCTATATCCCAGTGTATTCATTCAGTTTGACTTTTTTAAAACAAATAGAACGAATTTAGACCATAACTAAACAATAATTACAATTTATATTAGTATAAAAAATAAATTCATTAAATTTATCTAGTTGAGAACTATTAAAATTTTATTTCGTTATGCTAATATTCACTATAAATTGAGACGAATTGATGATTAAAGTTTGTCTAATTTGACTCGAAAAAAGTCAAACTAGACAAACACATTGGGACAGAGGGATTACATTTTAAAAGGCATGAACACCATGCAGTAGCCAGAAATAGCTAATTAAGGCTCTTAATGTGGAAAGAAGTGTTCCCAAGGAATAACAACATCATTAAGAGGTGAATATAAGAGAAAACAACAAACACCAAAGTAGGTTGATATCATGTAGTAGCAGTTGTGTACCACATAAAATCTTTCCTATTTACAAACAAATAGCAGACACCATTCTAAAATGGGTTTTGCAGTACTCTGCACCATTCTTGGAATAAGGGATTCCCTGCAAATAATGTGAAAAAACTCAAAAATTAGAACTATTCTAAAAAAAAACAGTTGAATATCCGTAAGAAATAAAGGAAAACCTATTGCAAAGCAAGATTTTTGTTACCTCATTAGGCCAAAATTCATTTTCTTTAGTCGACTACTCCCGCCTTCTGCTTCAATGCAGAAATGAAGTTTTCCCTGTCTTCCGGTGACATCCCCGCGGTAGAGCAATCCCCGATTCCCCACTCGGCCCCACGGATACAATACTTGTCTTGTATCGCCCGTCGGTTTCTGAATCCAACACCACAAACATAGGACATAGCAAAAGAAAATGTGATTTTGTTCTCTTGCTAGGCGTGCATTTAATTTTATGAGTATTTCCAAGTTATAAGTAATTGGTGTAATTCATGAATCAACTTCACGAAATGGCAAAGTTAAGAATTCCATATGAAATTAACTATTCCAACTACTTCATCCGTCCAGATTTAGTCACCCACTTTCACAAAACAATTCAAATTTAAGGAATGAATGTAAAACAACAAAAGACATCCTTGAAGCTAACTTATCTTCGTTGATTTAAACTTTTGTGATTTAGGAGTATCAACAACAACAACAACAACGAAGGAGAACTAATATAGACGTCCAACAAAGGAGAGGTGGACAACTAAATCTGGAAGGAGATGGTATATCTTAACCCCATCACAATTACATCAAAGTCTATCTTTGTGGGAATGAAGAGAGTGATAGTTCATACCTATTTATAAATTTCATTCATCCTATGTGGCTAATCTGTTGTAAGTCGTACATGAAGGCAAACACAAAATAAGAGATCATATAACGACTCAAAACCCTCCACCAACGCACCATAAGTTATGTTTGGATGGATGGGTTAGGGGAAGCTGTAAAGAGCTTAGAATATATCTTAATGGATAGCATTTGAAATTTAATACTGCATAAAAAATTGAAAGACAGACGTGATAGGTGGTCGTAAAGCATTTTGGTCACAAATATGTTCGTTTTGAATACGGAGTAACATTTCAAGATATGGACTGCACCTTTCAAGACCTCTCCCTCCAAACACATTCGAAAGCACTCATCCAAACGGACCCTAAGAGTCACCGATCTCACTGGCATGTTATTTCATTAGAAGCTAGGTGATAATCCAGATGGACGATACATTATGGGTCTAGCGAAAGAAAACACGGAGGAAACTACTACTATAAAGACCAAGAAATGGTAAAAAAAATCAAATTTCACTTTCAAATGCATTTTTTTTGTAGTAGAACCAACAACAACACAATTACTTCCCTCAACTTATGTTTTCCTTTCCCTAGCATTTTCCTATATCCAAAAATACCCCGAAAAAGAAAGTCTTTGGGGAGGGAGTATGTATGCGGACATTACCCGTACTAGAAGATAAAGATCATATATTAGTATACAATTAGGCAATGAAGAAAGAATACTTCTCCTTATTTAGCTTGGATTTCTCAAGCAGCTGTTTAAGCAATGGAGACTCTTTGAATCTGGCATCATCATCTGCATACCTTTTCTGGTTTTCTTCTGAATTAGTATTATTAATATAGTTATTTTGGTAAATATCATATCATATTGAAAAAAGGAGGCAATTACAGTGATACAGTTAACAACAAACCACATACCGTTCAAGCGATTGAGGAAATCAATTTGAGGTAAATCTGGACCAGGGATTGATTCTATCCCACCAAAACCCGACAGTAATCCTGCATTAACTGCACCCGCCCATATGCTAAAATGGTCACTCATATCCGCACCCAACAAGACTATATTCCTGCAATGGAATTGAAGGTGAATAATGGAGTCGGTAAAAATATGGTTACCGGGTGGAGTGAATAGCAAGACGGCGATGGCCGCAGAGACGACGGATTTGCGAGAGATTTGATTCTTCTGTGCCGGCTGCGGCGGTGATCGAGAGGACCAATTGGCAGCGACTATGTTGTTTTGCTTATGCCGCGGAGGTTTGTGGGTAGACTGTGTCCCCGGAGAGATGAGTGGGCTCGGCGGCAAGGCCCACAATAGACAGCCCATCATCCCCTCGGAGTTCTCGGGTTTGGGTGGGCAGAGGGAAGCTATAAAGTTAAGGGCGTGTTTCGTTCAATAGTAGTAGTGATGGTCGGAGAGGATTAGAGGAGTCAGCTAATAAACACACAAACAAACATATGTCATCAGCTAACTTATAAATTAAAAACTGCTTATAAACCGTTGGAACGAGAGAGTATAAACTTTTAGAAAGAAGATATTATTTGAAGAAGACGGTGAAATTTAGCATGGTCTTGAGAGTAAAGAGAGGAGAGTCATAGGATTGTAACAACTCCACTTATCAATGTGCTCGCGGAACATACTTTTACTAATAGAAATGAATGTAAGTGTTTGCCGAATATCATTTGTACCAGGGATTACTGTAAGATTGTACATGGATTCAAATTTAATTAGTTTTTTTTAAATTCATTTGGTTGATTTTACAACGATTCACTAACTCTTTACTAACTATAATTTATTCAGTGGTATTTGTTATCAAACATGACATATGAATGTAGACTTTATTTCATCATGCTTGCTCTTATACAATAGTTGGCATCACAACAAATCTCTCATTTAGCGTGAGTGGTAGACTCATGGTGTCAACACTATTTTTTGCAAAATGGTTTCTAATTGCTCTTCACTTACACCTTTGACTCATTTGGTATGCATCTAGACATCTAAACCTATATTTTTGCAAGTCCATACACTTCTAGTCTCTCATAAAGAAAGTTGGACTAAATGCAGCCCCCTGTTGTAGCCTCGTCTCTACCATAAAGGAACGAATGCCCCCGCCCATTAGCGTCATTATGGCTTTAACTTCATCTTACCTGTTCTAATCGCTTTCAATGTACGGAGTATATCTATGCTCCACTTTAACATGGGCGAACTATTTAGGAACAAAGAGAATATCTTATAGTGTTGGTTTTAGTATTGATTCTAAAATTTGTGTTGTTGATTATTGATTTTATTAACAAATAAAATACATTTGCCATTTTAGTTAACAGAGAAAGTATCTTGTATTACATGTTTCAGGTATTAATTTTGACATTCGAATTATAGGCTACAAGTTTAACCAATAAAACTATATCTATGATATACAATTTGATTGGTACGCAATAAGCATATGATATATGAAGACACGTTATCAACACGACGTTATCAAAATTTATTACCTTCCTTCTTACACAACGTTATGTAAATTGTATTTCATGTATGCCTACAGAATCTGTGTAACTCTACACACTTTTAATCTATGATAATCCATTACCTTCCTTTTTACACGTTTCACTAATCGATACAATATCCCTCGCAATTACCTTCCTTTTTACACGTTTCACTAATCGATACAATATCCCTCGCAAATAACATGCACCAAGATAATATGCTTGAATATGACGCTGAGTTCGCCCATCACTAAAGAAAAGTTAGACAAAATGCACACCTCTTTTGCATCCTCGACTCTACCAGAAACGAATCTGTCCTCATCCACTGTCATCATTGTGGCATTAACTTCATCTTACATGTTCTGATCGCTCTATAGTACGATGTTAACACTTACAGATACAAGTGTCCATACTATTTAGGAACGAAGAGAGTATATTCTAACACAGGTTCCAACATTTCTCCGTAATTCTGAAGTTCACATTGCTGATTACCAGTTTCATCCATGAAGAAAATATATTCTAATATAGGCAATTTCTTAAAATTTGATCGTCGATTACGATTTTCAATATAGTTTATTACAGGGTTCATGTATTAATTCTAACGTTCGAATCATTGGTTACCGATTTCATAATTGAAACTTAATCTGTGAAAATCGCTTCGAAAAAAATAATTCCAAAAAAAAACTTTTATACACAAAAAGCACTTGAAAAACTGCAATTTATTGGAAATAAAGCAAATGACTTTTGGTTTTTGGGAAATGAGTTTCTTAATATTTTTCCCAAATTTGGATAGAGCATGAATTTTGAAGGATTTTGTTTTCTAAAACTCCCTATTTCCATTCAAAAATAAAAAAAAAACTCCGTATTTATATTACTCTAGAAAAAGTACTAACAGTTTCTAGAGACATTGAAGCTTAGCTTCACACATATGCTCTCGTTGTGTTCGAGGCTTGAGACGGTGAGGAGAGCACCGCAACCATTTCTCATCTCTCTCTCTTGATTTCTCTTCCTCGTTCTTCTGGAAATCACTGTAAGTTTCTTCACACTTTGCCAAAAGAATTTCAAACAAATTTGCAAATCCAATGTATAGTCGTTCATGTTTTCTTCTCCGAATTTCAATCCCTCTGTTCGGAGAGAACAATCAGGGAATTAGGCGTCGCTGATATGTCGATTCTTCCTGCGTGCATTGTATATCTGCATCTGATATGAAGATTGTTAACAATCTGATTGCTGGGATTTTTTTTAAAAAGTATATAAATCTAATTCTGGATTTCTGCATATTTAGGCATTTTTTTAATGTTTTAATGAGTGAATAATTTGATTTTTTTTGCAGAGATGTCTCTTTGATGTACAGTGTTTTGGTTCTGTTTGATTGATTTTAAGAGTCTAGATCATTAATCAAGTTACGAGATGCTTAGATCAGGATTATACGCTTAAACAAAATGTTACTTTGCACCCTATATCTGGGGCCCTACCTACTCATCAAGGGATCCCATGTCCCAAAAAATGTTATCCCCTACATGTCCCACTTTTTTTACATACCATAAAAATATCAATAATACGGTATACCAAAATGGGTACCTTATTTCTACGGACACACAGAGGGCACATATATTGTGTGTCGTTGTGTGTGTGTTTTTACTTGATGTACAAATGGGATAACCCATTTTGATGTACCCCTGGCATTGCCTTAAAAATATAGTCCAATCCAACTCTTAAATTTCAGGCTTGCAAAAGATGGGAAGTGTTTGAGCAGGAATCATTGTAAGCCCCGGGGTTAACGAAAACGGATTTATGAAACCTTGAGAAAGCGGTGTTTGGTTTGCTCTCTGCCATCATCATGTGGAGGTCCATTTGGAATGCCATCACAAGCATTGGAAGGAAGAAGGGTGCAGTTGAGCCGAGGCGTACATGTAACCAGTTCTCAGACGGAGATGATGACGACGATGTGTCCTCCAATGAGGAGGCTTTAGAATGCCCTATATGTTGGGAGTCCTTCAACATAGTGGAGAATGTTCCCTATGTGTTATGGTGTGGACACACCATATGCAAGAATTGTCTCTTGGGACTCAAATGGGCTTCTCTCAACATCTCCGTGCATCGAATCCGCGTCCCGCTCTTCGTCTCGTGCCCTTGGTGCAATCTGCTGACCCTTCGGCTCCTTTTCCGCGGGAACCTTAAAGCCCCCAACAAGAACTTCTTCCTCCTCTGGATGGTCGAGAGCCGAAACGGGGACCGGTTCCTGTCCCACACATGCACCTATCACCCCCAGTCGCGCATGAACAACACCACAACCGGCCATTTGGCACCGGGTGCCGCTAACGGAATCCGCCACCTCGGGAACGGCGGCGGCGATTCCCCCCGGAGACGACCGGAGTTCTCCATCCACAAATCAATCGACTTCTTCATCCGTTTCACATCCAGGTTCCCGCTCGTGGTCGTGCTTGTTTTCATGGTCATATTTGCCATCCCTTCCAGCGCCGCCATTCTCATTGCCTACTCGGCTATCACCGTCGTCTTCGCCGTCCCCGCGGCGCTGGTAATGTATTTCGCGTACCCGACTCTGGATTGGCTGGTGAAGGAGATCAGCAGCTGAGTGGGTGAGTGTCATATATACCTTAAAGATGTGTTTGTATCTAAACTTTGCAATAAAACCTTTGTAACATCAACAATTAGAATTATTTGTTGTTCTATATAACATTTCAAACTTTGTAACATCAACAATTAGAATGTAAGCAAACAGAAAACATGATATAATTATCTATAATTAAAAGAAACCAACTAGGATTAAATGTTTCCTCATGCTAAATAGCTTTCTAATCATCCAAAAGAAAAAGATTAAACAACATCTAGTGGTTCACACTACCAAGAAAGGGCTAAAACCTAATCAAGAATAGTAATGTGGGTGTAGTGTCCTAAGCACAAGCAGGTGCCCTAAAGCCTTTGAGGGTGGCAAAGACAATGGAGTCAGGCTGAACAGTGACTGGCAAAGCAAGATCCACCAGCTTTGGGTTCAAAGCAGGAATGTCAAACTCTCTTGTGATCTTCAATGGAGTTCCGTTTAGCAAAACGACGTCCGTTTGGATGTTCCCGCCATCCGGGCTCAAATGGTACTCTTCCCTCTCCGGCTCGTTGTCAACGCTCTGGAGACTCGCTTGATTCCCCGGGTACAGGTTCAAATCATCTCTCGCGTACACCTCAAAAGTTGTGGAGTTTGACAAATTTATCAAAAGTACTGCAACCCCGCTCTGAAATGATTGAAAAAATTAGTTAAGTTAATTGATTTTGGGACGGAATCTTAGAATTCTACAAATACGTAATCCCTCTGTTCCACAATAAATGTCTATTAAAGTTAATTACATACTTCCTAGTTCCTACACTATGTTTCGAGTGAATGTAGACATATTTAAGTATACATTCATTCAAAATCTAATGTATCTAATAATCCTTAATAGAAGGAGTTACTGTGGAATGAAGGGAGTATATTCTATTTGAGCTTACCCCGTGCCTAGAGCAATGGGCGTAGGCGCGAAGGTACGGGGAACTATCATGGGACACCCCCAAAACTATCTTCCCCATCAACTTGTTCCACAAGAGGGCACCATAGTAATCTGGATTGGGGATGAAAGTTGTGGTGTTGAGAAGGGCATAGTTTCCCCCAATCAAGGCTTGTCTGCAATACACTTTGTGGTTAAAAGTTGATGTCATCCCCAATTGATCCAAGTACCTATACAATAAAAAAGGTTACATTAGTTTCATTTGGTTATACTTACACTTATGCAACTGAATTGAAAAAAAGGATCTTACCAAAAGCCATCAGCAAAGTAATGTGAAACATCTTTGCCACCACTATTGTAAGCACCACCAGCTTCTCCCACCCAAGCTTCGGTCCATGGACCGAAGCTTTGGATGCCTGTAGAGACGTCCTTGAATGTTTGTGCAACTTGATCGAGATAGTACGGATCTTGAACTTTGTTGATCAAAGTTTTGTCGTCTCCTACAAGGTCGGATAACTTCTTAATCTCATGACACAAGTTTTCATGAAATTAATGCGAGTTGCATTACAAACCTGAACCAAGATTGTAGATATGGTGCGTCAAGCCATCAACAACATTGGGACCCGAGGTTTGGAGGAAGGTATTGAACCATTTCTCGTCATAAAACCCACCCGGGCCCAAGACCTTCGGTCGGGTGGTTGGGTCCGGGTGAATCTCTTCTACGACTTTTTTAAGAGTCGTCATATCTTTTCCATATTGATCGGCTTCTACTCTTGCACCCACCCTGCTTCCGCACAACTCATTCCCTACACAAAATATCGCAAGAGGCTTACAACTTAGTGTAATTGTCATGGTTCAAACACAAATTTACCTCCAGTCACACCTGATATCAACCAGTTGTGTTACGCTCACCGAAAATATTTTTTAGTAAGTACTTAATTATTAAATTGACATACATAGATGTAACCAAACATTTTAATCTAAAAAATCAAAAGATTAAACTATTTTGCCATGGAAGGGGTAAAAATAGAATGTTCTTCTTACCAAGTTCATATGAATCAACTTTATATCCCTTTGAAACAGTGTACTCCATAAGGTCCCTTGCATTTTGGGAGTCCCAATCACCCACCCAAAGGGCATTGTCGTCTTTTGACTTGTTCCTTCCCAATAGACCGTTCAACCCGAAAGTCATCACAGCTCTGCGCTTCATGAAAACGTCAAAATGACCTCAAATATACTTTGTCCAAATTGTCGGTGTTTGACTTTTTTGGTCAAATTGTGCCACCTTTTGGTCACATATTATAGAAAAATTATATTTAGTAATAATGTAAAATTAGGTTTATTTTAAAATATAACTTTGAAATATCAAATTTTTATAATATTTAATTATTTTAAGTTACATTTAATTTTTGGTCAAAGGATACCACAGTTTGACCCAAGAAATTAAATTGTGGCAATCTTTTAGAAACGAAGGGAGTAAAAAAAAATTGAAGTAATTAGTGATTATATTGTACCCCGTTTGGTTGAAAAGATGGTGCAACTCATCCCATCTCTGCATGGGAAGGCAACCGCCGGAGAAGCCAAACAAGGCATTGTCGGTTCGATTGAAACCAGGGCAGTCTTTGACTCCATAGCCAACCTCGTACAGCACTTGGTCTTGCAATGAACCCCCTATTCTCACCCTAAGACGATCGAACGCTGTAAAATGGCACGGTAATATTTAGCATCTAACAAAATTAAATTGTCTCAAAAATGTCCAAAAAAGTAGAAGAAAACATATAATAACAGTTCTGTTCTTTTTTTTAAATACAAATATAGAGAAGTTTACTCTTGATAGGAAAATAAAAAATAAATTTGCAGAATTTGCAAATTAAAAATTTTATGCTTGGAACAGAACTGAAGTGGTCAATCTGGGTACAAAATGATATTGTGGCCGTGTTTGACTCCTTAGGAAGGTAGTGTGAGATATTTTATGTGAAATATGCATAAAGATTCTTGTTGAGACATATCATATTCTCTATTGCTCGTCTGAAATTAAAAATTCATTTTTATCTTTTCTTATACTCCGTATATATAACTGTCATGGTCAAAACTGAGAGAACGTAACTAAAGGAAGATGGTGTTCTATCTTTTTTTTTTTTTTGTAAATTAAATATTATACATCTTGTCTTGCAAATTAAAGTAACTTTCCTTCAAATTTAAGCAATCTTGTAGATTTTTTCATGGCAATTTCGTGAACGATATGTACCAATTAAGAGTGTTTTTTGGTACAAAATTGTTTTCCTCTCCATCCCATAAAAATTCTCCGTCTACTATTTATACAATAATAAGCTAACGTTCATCTGATCTCACCATAAACTTCTTACTTCTTAATTATTTCTTTCACATTCACATAAAAAGAAAGAAATGAATGATTAATGATATTTTTATCGACTGTAATCAAACCTTATATATATTCCGTATTTTTTACGGAGTATTTTTTAACTAATACGGAGTATTTTTTTTAAAAAATTATAAAGTCTAACGTAATTTTTATTTAAAAAAGGGAGGGAGTCTTGGATGAATAATTTACCGTCAAAGTTGTTATAGACTTATAGGGAATGGTAGATAATTAAGCACATAGTCCGCAGTTGATAAACATGTTTATACATTTTGTGAAGGGATAATAATGCATATTGGTTAGGAGTCTCCGCAGTTGCCTCCCTCACATTGTATTTATCCATCCATCTATTCCTTAATTTTGTCCTAAAATTATCGTATTATTTTATCCTTTTTGTCACTTTAATCATACATTATTTTTTTTAAAAAATCTACTTATAATTTAAATTTAATATTTTTAAATTTAGTTTAGAATATAGTTTAATATATCAGAGTTTTATAACATATATAAAAGTAGTAAAACAAAGAGAATTATATTCTTTAAAAAAAGAGAATTATATGTTATTAGTATTAATAGAAAGCAAACACAATCGCTTTGAATAAAAATTTAAAGATATAGATTAATTTGGAAAACGCAATCGCTAAAGGCTATTGTTAGATAGCCTTTTGAAAAGACTAACACTAACTCTTAACGGTGATGCCAAAGAGGCTATTTATACACCAAAATAATCACAAATAATTATGTCGCGCGTCTCACAAAAATAACCCGATCGAAGAGTAACAATGTCAACTTATGGTAAAAAATTGCTAATGTGACAAAATTTAATGGGGACATCCGATAATTTTCTTAATTATGAAAATGATTTACTTAAATAAGGTAACAAAGACAATTATACGAGTATGTTATTAAAGAATCACTCAATAAAAATTGTACAAAAACCCAATTTGAGTAAATTAGAGAGTTTCTATATTATAAATCTAATTAATAATGTTATTGTATATTCATTATATGTTGATTTACAAGTTATATACTCTCTCCGGTCCTAAAAACCTTTCATGTTTTGACTTTTTTTGGTCAAACAACGATACTCTTTGATCATAAATTAAATATATTTTGAACAAATAAATGATATTAAAAATTTGATATATCAAAACTATATCTTAAGATGAACCTAATTATATTGAATTTATATTATAATTAGAATATTTTTCTCACAATGTATGGTCAAAAAATGTCATTCTTTGACTAAAAAAAGTCAAAAGAGAAAAAGTTTTTAGGATGGAACAGAGTAGTACTCATTTCACACATTTATTTTAATAATAATAATAATAATAATATGAAAATACTTGTAAATAATTTGTAATTAGGATCGATAATTTAAAGTAAAATAAATCAAACCCCATTTAAGTGCTAAGTCTTTAACTCAATTTATTTAACTCCTAAAGTCGCTCAACCATATCAGCTTTTGGTCAAATTTCAAACACCTCAATCATCATTATCTAACATGAAGAATATATATCAGATGTACGTTGATTATTTCGCCCAACAAATATAATTAACCACATTATATTTTCTTTGAAATTTAAACTTTGGTGTCTTTTATAACTAGTCTTATTATAATATAACCCTCCTACCATACACAATTAAATTAATATTAATATTACAATAGGGGGACCACAAATTGATAAAAATAAGGTAAGCACACGAGAAATACATAAGTGTCTCTGTATGCTTTCAATAACACAAATTGATAAAAGTTTGGAAAGCCAATCATAACGTGGGGGGGGAGG